TAGCAGCTGCTGTGTGAGAGTGTCACTTTAGTGAGGAATACTGAGGAAAAGCTGACGCAGAGCGAGATACTCATGTGAAGCCAAGAGCCAAATCTGAGGGATCAGATCTAGTCTTGCAATTCAGCCACCAATTTGCAAGCCTTCCTGAACAGGACAGTGAACATCTTGCTGCCTCATCATCTTCTCCTGTATAATTTTTCCTTAAAGTTCAAGCAGCTTCAGTTTGGGGGTAAGAAACTCAAACTAGTTATTCCAGACTATCTTCCTTGTGAACTAATGCTTAAGATTGCTTCTCACTTATTAGGACCTGGTAAGATTGATAGGTTTTATGATTGCACTTGAAATAATCTCAGTGCTGAATAGGAGAGTCAGCTTCCTCAAAGGACACAATGACAAGTGAGCAGTGACAAGTGAATCAGTCCAGTGGTGAAATAAGCACTGATATAGATACATCTGGAGAAGATGCACAAAAGTGCTTTGAAGTACTGATGCTGAGCCACTGGAGTTGACAATGTATTACATGTGTTCAACTAGATATAACTTCCATTTAGAGCAGAAATGTTCTGACAGATAATGGGGCCTTATGGCTGACATAAGCTGCCCTAGGAAGGATGGGAGGCTTTCTGTCTTCAAGGAAGAGGCCTGTCTTGATTGACCAACTGGATGTAGCTTTTTTGACACCAAACTGCTTTAGGTTTTCACAAGTGATCAACTTCCAGGGATTCTGATTCTCTTGGATTTTTACCTACACAGAAGGTTTCATGGTATTTTAAGAGTTTAAATGTATACCTTGTGGGTTTCTCCCAAGCTTTGGAGTGTCTTCTAATTCAGTTTCAGCTCCTTTACTGTTAAAAGGATGGTGGCTGAGTATTTATGCAGAGCAAACGTATATCTGCAGTAGAGATTCTGATCTCTTCTAGCACAGACAAACTCTGTCTCTTATGTTTCATACCTAAAGATACCTGCAATTAACAGAGTGGCCAGTACCCTCGGGCCGTGCATCAGTGCTGCTTGCACATGCAAGTGTGACTAGTGACCATGGTAAGACACTGCTCTAAACAGTGTCAGAGCCTTCAGAAGACCTTCACACCCCCTGGTGGAGTAAGTCTTTAACTCTGCCTGGGCTGACTGCTATTGAGTTAGACTGAGGCTGAGGGGTTAAACAGCCTTTAGAAATGTGTCCTGTGTCAAAGGCATCAAGACCTGTAAAAGTCTGCTTGGCTTGCTTAACTTTAGGCTTCTTAATGCTGAGATGATAGTCTTCTCATTTGCAGGTGACAAGTGATGACATAACATGCTTCTAAATCATCCAGAGATAGCTCTGGGTTCCTGTGGACTAACTTCATCTAGGAGAGAATGACAAATCTTGCTGTTAGACATCATTCCAGTCACCAGTGGTGACCTGGAAGTGGGATCTATGCCTAAGTGCAGAGCCATATGTTACTGGTATAAAAACCTTGCTAGCTGCAAGTAGGCTTGGTTTGTTAGCACTAACGCTTGTGTTTTCCTCTCCAGGGTTGCAGGTCACCCACTGGCACAGAATGAGCGCTGTCTTCACATGTTCTTACAAGATGAAGTAATAGACAAAAACTACACACCATCCAAAATAAGGCATACTTGAGTTCTGAAACTGTCCTCTCAAATATTAGTGGTTCTTATGCTTGGTTTTAAGAGGTTGTAGTTTGTCTTAGCATGCTGAGGATAAACAGGCACGAAGTCTCCACTAACATCAGTACACTGCTTGATCTTTGCATATGCTTTATAGCATTAAAGAACTCACTTGTCTTCTAGCTAAATCCCTCTGAATTCTCAATTTAAGAGTATTATACTATGAGACCATCCACCCCTTGCAATGTCTCACAAACCCTTTCACTCTTATTTGCAATGACTTACAATGTTTACTGACTTGGCCTTACTTGAACTCTCACAGTTGTAGTGTCACATGTTCACTTGTATTTGACTAAATTGCTATGCTGTTTCTGAGGTAGTCATCTGTCTGAACCTGTGTAGAAAGACTGCTTTATTTCTGATACCCTGTGTGAGAAACACTTATGCAAATGTCTTCAAGCTTGTAAAACACTTTATACTGAAGTAATGAGGGAATTATCTTTATATTCTGTAAAAGGAAAAATCAAATTTATATACTAAAGTAACTTGTCTAAAGTTTTGAAATAAAAGTGAAAATGCACTTCAAATGTTTTGTCACTCTTGACCTTGAGTGTGGGGTATCTCATGCTTTCTGAGAAGCACAGACTTGACTATAAGTGAACTGATGTTTCAGCCTTGCTGTGATGCTCTTCTGCAGTGTACTATTGTGTTACTAACAAACAGCACTAAATACCCTTAGATGCTTGTGCTTGCTGCTCAAGTGTTAAAGAACATATAAAGATATTGAAGGCTGTTCCTGTGTTGTGGAGCCAAAGCTGCAACCCTGCTTGTGATAGGCAGTCAATAGATTGATGGCTTCAATGAATTTTGGGAAAGAGTACTTTCTCTACTGGGTATGAGAGGCATCAATCTAAGCTTCCACTAGCAAATGGAAATTATACCATCCTACAGAGAAGGAAAGTTGACGTAACCTGTGATACATTATAGCTTCATTCCTAGATTAAAGTAGCTCTCTCTACAAATACACTTAGGGACACGAAGTCATACAAGTCTGCTATAAGGTGTGCTCACAGACCGCTTCCCTGGGCATTAAAGGAAGGGGAAGCTGTAGAGTTGTGCTTGTTATGACCACTAGTGAAATGCAGGTGGCTGATGCCTGAACTGCAGGTAATACTGCAGAAGTCTTCTTTCTCACTGGATGCTTTTATGGCTGGAGATGTGCCTTAGTGCCTCCAAATGTGACATGGGCATTATCTGTCCAGATGTTCATGAAATCAGATTCAAGAACATGCTTGTAGCAATCTGATCCAGTGTGCTCTTTGGTAACTGTACCTGTTGGCTTAGATGTGGCTCTTCTGCTTTTTCCTTATAATACTTATCACAGTCAAGAACATCCTACAAACTTACTGGCAAAGTTACTAGTCTCACTAAGACCATTAACCTCACTTATGGCAGTCTGGGTGTAACAGATTGCACTGACACAACAGTAGTGGCTGACTGGATTATATGTTGTGCTAGTACCTAGCTACACTGAATGTTAGATGCTCAAATAATTGTTCCTTCCCCCTCACACTTAAGAACTTTGCTGAATCTCTCCAACAGTTCTATTCATGAAATCGGGGACCAAAAAAACTGACAGCCCGCTTGCAGCCTCGAGCAGACTTGCTTTTCAAGAAGTTTTTGATAATGTAAAATCAATACTAAAATTCCATGTGCTTATTGAATCACATGTAAAATCAGGGGAAGAAGGGCTAAACCCATATCAAGTTTTATTATTTAGGTTTAGATACATAGTAAGGTATTTTCTTTTCTTAGTGTTCTCTTCTGAGAAATTTCTTTCAGAAGTCAAAGATGATGGCACAATCTTTATTTGCTGTGCAAAAACCAAGAAGCTGAAGAGGGAAAAGCTGCATGCTTGATGGCAGAACATTGCTGTTTCTAAAGTGAGGACTTCAGTGCTAACCACTGAGGTTGGCAGGACGTCTGCACTGGACCCTGGGTTTTCATCTGGCCTTCAGTCCTTCAAGGTGAACTAGAGACCTTAATTCTGGTGTTTTGTAACTGGTTCAGCTTCTGTGCAATCTGCAGCACTGAGAGGAAGGCGTGGTCTGTGATTAGCTGTGCCTCAACCATGGGGGTCTGGGCATCGTTCCCAGGTTGTGAGTCTGCTCTGTAGCAGGCAGTAGGTCCTGCGGGTAAGAGGATGAGATGTGCATTGCCCTGGCTGCTTTACAACTGGGAGAAAGCTAGTACACTGTGTTGCATCCTCTGGCCTAGGTAATCTAGGGACTGGGGCTACAGCACACTGCAGAGTGTGTTATTGCTGCTCTGGGACAGCAGCATGAATCTTACTGATGACTGACTCTTCTGTTATGGGTTCTTCACAGCACTGGGTTCAACTTCTTTACCTCATAAACTGAATTGTCACAGAGTGGAGAACCGCAATAGATTTTTCTGCCCTGTCCAGTTCTTTTTAGCTTAGAGAGCAGAAAATGGTTGAAGGTGCAGGAAGAACATAGCATTTGTTGGTTTCTTTCAAAGAATGTGCTATGGCCTGTGGTAAATGCATTCTCATGTGCTCCATCTTAATTTTTTCTCACCTGACTCACCAAAAGACTGGTCTTGTATGTTTCATGGTCTGGCTATCCTGGAAAGGATAGGACATGGGACCTAGTAGACTACAAATGGAAGAGAGTTGGAGTGAAAACTGACCTCTGAAACATGAGATTTTTCTGTTTGGAGTCAGCGGAGCTAGGATTTCACTTGTGGTCTGTATTCCTTGACACTGAAAACCAGTAAGCCACTGATGTATGCTGTTCACTTCCACCTGTCACGTTAGTGTGTGTGGCTCATTGTCACATGAAGGATATGTTGTATTTCCCTTCTATTACCAGCTTATTCTGTGCATTGGGAGCTGCCTACCTCTTTAGTGTGATGACACAAATGAACACCATAGTAAAACCTCAGAATCTTTTTAATGGAAGCAATCTTCTTGTACTCGTCTTGTTAGCTGTGCGATTCACCTACGCTAAAAGTCGTAATAACACAAAGCAGAAGACTTGTACTAGGTTAGACCTCTGATCTGCGTAGTATTGTGTCCTAGGAAAAGCTCTATGTCAGCTCCTGAGAAGAAAACCTTGCAGCAGGTATTTGAATTACAGGAAATAGCTGGACCTCAAAGTCCCCTACCCCAAGGCAGGATCACCTAAGCTGTTCCTTTAATGTTTGTCTAACCTGCTTTTTAAACCCTTTGATGATGGAGACTCCACAGCATCCAAGGCAATCCATTTTAGTAGAGAATATTCCTGATCCCTGGCAAGCAGAGTACAGGGGAGGAAACTAATACAGAAACAGAAGGACAATTGTTAAATGAACAGTGGAAAGTAGTTTAAATTCAATATATTTTTATTCTTTGTAAATACAATGAGTACAACTTTTTAACTTCACAAATCAGTTAATCCACTTTGTACAGGAAAAGTTTTACTCATTCTATGATAGTCCAAGTGCTGATTTTTCTCAGTGCTAGTTCCTAATAACAAATCAAATTTTGAAAAGTACAGCAGCTATCTTAAAATGGTTTTTCCTACATTTTTTTCATACATCAAATAAGCAGCTTATAACATTTTTGTGTGTGAGAGGGTGTAGGCGAACAAAGCTTCAAAATTAGAACCTGGAGTTTTCTAAAAAGGCATTGGAGACTTTTGGAAATTGTTAGCATTGTATCAGTCAAAAACTTTATTTCTTTGAAATAAAATTCCTTCCATTGATTATTTTTTCTTAATAGTCATTTCACTTCTCTGCACATCTCACTGACAAAGAGTTTGGCCACCGTTGCCTTTGGTTTCAGCACTGTGCCAACGGGACAGCCAGCAGGTCACTGAAGCAGTCATCTCCATTGTATTTGGTTTTGCTGTTTTAGTCTTCCTTTCTTGACTTGTGTCTTTTCAGGTGTGTGTGCGAGCGAATGTGTGTGTGTGTGTGTGGAAGAAGGGGGGAAGGTCGGGGAGGAAGTGTATAAAGCTCTTCTGTCTTTGAGATGTTAACCGAACAAATTGTGGTGACATCTGCAGCAAAGATCACCAGTTCATTTTGCAGGAAGAATGGAGCTTGTCGTCATAAGCTACTTTTTAATCAGTTCTGAAGGCCACTTCATGATGTATTATAGCAGGAGCAATGTTTTGGTAACCTGGTCTTAAATGTTGCCTATCATATTAAAACATTTTCTCAACATAGGCTACTTTTAAAACAATTCTGAAGGCCACCGCATCTCATGTTACAACAGAAGCCAAGTTTGGTCACCCGGTTCCAAATACTGAACAAACTAAAGTACCTTCTTTCACATTTTGTCTCAGATCTGCCAGTTAAATGAGAGAATAGCAGAGTCTTTGTTAACTATGACTGGCATCTGAATTGCCTCCATCCTGTAGTAGCAGGAATAGCAGCCAAATTCCAACCACTTTCACTTTTTCTGTAGAACAAAGCATTCTCTCCATGATCTAAATCACTCTGTTCAGAGCAGCAGAATCATATCTACTGGGGTATTTTGTGTCAATGGGTTTAAAGGCTAAACATTCCCAGGCTTATGCTTCCCGTAGATTTTGTTAGTTGAGGCTTATTCTCCATAGATAAAAGTTCTCAAACTGTCCATCCTGATGGTTTATTTTAAGGTGATTTATATGTCACTGGATTTGTACATATCTGAAAGCAGTCTTGTAATTGGTACATTCCCAATGGTCTTTTTGAAAAACACTTCTTCTATTGTAGATGGACTGATGGAACGTAAAGCTGGTAAAAGCAATAAAAGTTTTCCAAAGCGACAGGGTTGTGTGGGATACCTGAGAGACAGAGAGAGGAAAAAATATTATTGAAGTTTTAAAGTGTATTTTTCAAAGAAGATCTTCTACTTTATAGAAAAGACCAATATTCAACAAATTGTACAAATGGGTGCTACCTGTGTTAAAACCCTGTGGTTTGTACTCAAGTGAGCAAGAAAGTTAATTCAGAGGAAAACTCTCCTAATGGAGATTAACAGAATATAGACCAATGTCTTGGAGTTTTGATTAGCTCCTTTGTTTACTCCCTCAGAGTGGTAGCAATACAGAGACAAGATCTGCTCTGACTTGTCCCTTGTACGACAACAATGTTCTTGATGCAGTTCAGGGAAGAGCTTGACCTATAATAAATACCCTGTCATTTAACGTGCAATTTAAACTTAGCTGGATTGTCATGGTAATTGTTCTGCCCCCTTTTGGTTGCTGTATACGTTTGGAAAGAAATTTTCTTGTTAAAGAAGCTGTATTTTATCCTCAGATACTGTGTTTCTATAATAGGATATTTCCTATCCTTTCTCCCAGCTTTTGAAGCCAGCACAACATAGGAGATGTAAGCTAGCTGTGCTTACGCTAAATCATTACACCAATGATTCTCAAGCCTCTGCTTACAGTGGTCTCTCTAAAAGAAGGACCTAAAAAGGTCATTTGGAGGAACACTCTGCTTCTTCAGTTTGCCCTTCCTTGTGTCCTGTTGAGAGTAATTCCACTGAGATCAAAGGGCTGATGCTGCTGTAACACTGGCAGGAAGGTAAGTTCAAGCCTAAGGGTGAAATGCAAGCTGAAAGCCCTGTCCCTTTGGAGTCAATGTAACAGTCCTGTCAGTGGACTGCACTTTTTTTCCTGTAAAAGAATGTCTTTTACAACAAACACTGTTTAGCCCAGTAGGTAAGTATTTCCAGCAAGACAGAAATGCAATGGAAAAGTTGCCATGCCTGGAATGGAAACCATGGGTATGTAAAAGCATTCCTCCCTGGCTTTTATCCTCAACAGGCCCTGTCTCACTCGGAGACCCTAGGAAGCAGTCTCCATGGGAAAGGCCTTCCATAAGAACAGGAAGAGGCTGCTCTACAGTAGTTATTCTTTTTGCTCTGAACTAGCCATAACTGGATAGCATTTGCGTTTTTGCTCTTGTCCCCATGGTAGGCCACTCCCTATAGGCTAAACAGAAGTTCTTCAGAGGCTGCTGCATCTAATCTCTGATACTGAGTGGACTTCTGATAGACAGCTATTATGAGAACAGATCAAAATTGCAGAAGGAAAAAAATTGTATAAAAGTATCTCTTCCTCTGCTCATCTCCCACTGTGTTAGTGTCATGGACTTCCACTGCAGCTAAAGGGCTTTACAAAACCTGTTGCAGTTCTCCCTAGAAATCCTGAACCGACCAGAGCAGCTGAATGAGACAAGGGGGAATATTTTCTTCCCCAAAAAATTATTCTCATCACTCTGCTGCAGCACCAAAACGGGATTCACAAGTTCTGAGAACAAACTCAGGGTTCAAAGTCTTACAAGTCTTAGAAGTCTTAGAATGTCTTAGAAGAGGCATTTAACTCCCTTGTGTCCTGATTTCTGTGTCTGCAAAATGGGAGAAATTACATGGGGATTGGAGATCATTGGTGAAAACACTCGTACTGCTTTCAGATCTGATGTTTTCAGCATCACTGTTAACGGTACTTGATTGAATAAAATGTAAAGGGAAATGTAGCCATCTGAACTGCAAAGTGTGCCACAGCGGGTATCACTTCTCAGAGGAAGATCTCTTCTTCTAGCGCTTTTCCATTTGTCTGAATAAATTGAGGTTCTGGAGTGCATTCAGAGAAGAGCAACGAAGCTGGTGAAGGGTCTAGAGCAGAAGTCTTCAGAGGAATGGCTGAGGGAACTGGGGTTTAGTCTGGAGAAAAGGAGGCTCAGGGGGATCTTGTCCCTCTCTGCAACCTCTGAAAGGAGGTTGTAGTGAGGAGGTGGCTGTTCTCTTCTCCCAAGTAACAAGTGATAGGACAAGAGGAAATGGCATCAAGTTGTGCCAGAGGAGGTTTAGACTGGATATTAGGAAACATTTCTTTACCAAAAGGGTTGTCAAACACTGGAGCAGGCTGCCCAGGGCAGTGCTGGAGTCACCATACCTGGAGGGGTTTAAAAGACATAGATGTGGTGCTTAGGGACATGGTTTAGTGGTGGACTTGGCAGTGTCAGATTCGTGGTTGGACTTGGTGATCTTTAGTCTTTCATAACCTTTTCTATATTCTGTTTCATCAGGAAATGCCAGCAGGCTGACAGCCAATGTATACTTGCTGTAACAGCCCAGTCCCCATTTCAGTCAGTGGACATGTCACCTTCACAACAGTGAGAGCAGGATTTTACCCCTACACCTGCAATAACTATTGAGAGAAGACACCACTCACCTGGTATGAATGTAGCTGTTCAGAGTGAGCTGGGCTTCATCTTGAAGGGCTGCTATGGCGGCAGCATTTCGGAAACTTCTCAGTTCGGAACCACTGTGTGTAGGCACTGGAAAGCAGATTAGTTACTAGTTACTGGAGAGGGACTTTTTACAAGGGCCCGTAGTGACAGGACAAGGGGAAATGGCGTTAAGCTGAAAGAGGGTAGATGTAGATTAGATGTAAGGAAGTTGTTCTTTACTGTGAGGGTGGTGAGGCACTGGCACGGTTTTCCCAGAGAAGCTTTGGCTGCCCCATCCCTGGCAGTGTTCAAGGCCAAGTTGGATGGGGCTTGGAGCAACCTGCTCTAGTGGAAAGGTGTCCCTGCCCGTGGCAGGGGTTGGAACTAGATGAGTTTTAAGGTCCCTTCCAACCCAAAACCTTCTATGATTCTAGTTCAGCTTTACTCTCAGGTGGGTCAAAACCAGTTCAGCTAGTGCTATCAATGGAAATTAAACATTCCAATTAGTTCTCCAGTGCTCCACTGTCAGCCTTTCAAAATACAACACTGACTATTGGAATTCAATACTGGGAAACCTGTTGGGTGATATAAATCTATGTTTGGTTCAAAGCGTCATTGTTGTAGCGTCATTTAAAGTAGCAACCTCATAGTTATCAGACCAGATGAGCAATGGATTCTTTCTGCTTACCAGCTTTAAAAGTGACAATGCATTTGAGACAGGCAAATTCAGTAGCATCTAGCCGAAGTTGTCTAAATCTAGCCACAACCTCCTGTAAAGCCTGTATTTCTGAAATAATTTTATTCAGCTTCTGAGAATCTGTATTGTCACCGTTCATGCCTAAAACAGAAACAGATGAAATAAATAATATTAAAGGCATTTGCTTTATTTTATATTGATTTCTGACAAAATCCTCTGTATCAATATCCACTCTATTGTCACACTTGTCTATCTGGTTCCATGTAAACTGACTATATTGTATGAAAGTTAATATAAAATCTTCTCTTGGATGATAACAAACACAGTAATTTGCATTTAAATGACAATGCAAGCAGTCATGAATACAACAAAACAACATTATTTGCATTTAAATATAGATTTATAAATGACAGGTATGCTCTATTGTTCAGTAGGAATTTGTTATTCTTTACATGTTGTTCTTTTTTCAGTAATGTATTTTTATGGTAATTTTTGTAACAAAGTCATTAAATTGTGCAATTCTTACCAGATACAGCCAGTAGAGTGTTAGCATCAACTGGAATGGCCCATTGTGCTATTCCTAGAACAAACAGTTCTCTCCAAGCATCTTCCAAAAGCATCAGCTGTCATACAATAGATGTACAATATAACATAGTGTATAATTTATAGATTTATAAACAATTTAAATATGTAAATTTCTGTTATTTTAAAAGCTACTTTAAATGCTTGTCATGGTATTTATCTCACAGCATTCGTTAGCTCTTCTCTTAGCTTTCTGAGAAGGTGTCTAGAAATAAGTCTGCATTGTAGCAAACCATTGAAGGCTGGCTCACCGTGCAGTGTTGTGGACCAAAAGGGAGAAGGAGAGAGTGAGAACTCCCACAACAGAGAGCTTGCTCACAGCATGAGCACTCATCTGTGTTTCTCAGCGCACCCATGGGCTCTTTCCTCCTCACACATATAGCTGTCCTAGGACAAGCTGGACAGTGCTCTCCTATTGCTGTCTAGGGATTACCTTCCTTTCCCTCAGGAAGACAAGATTTGTGAAGAAAAGCCTGGACAACATCCTGAAATGACATCACTTTGTAGGGAGCACTGCTTTAGAGCACATGCATATCTTTAACCCCTTCCTTACAAGCAAGTCTTTAGCTCTTTAAAGCACAGCATCTGGACACACATTCGGTTTCTCATGTCACCTATTTTCCTGCTTTTTGCTTAAAATCACTCAGAAATTCCAGGCAGTAAGAGCTTTTCCTTTCAGGGAACTGAATATCCAAGCACCTATGCTGACAGCATTGCTAGTTCTCTGCAATTTTTGCACATTGCCTGGTTGTGTGGAGGATGAGTTTTTCTCTGTTTGGAGGCAATGCCTTTGATTTCTGTAGAGAAGCACTGGTGCATCTGAAGAGACAAGACTCTGGTGATACAGACTGGCAAAGCCAGAACAGTCATGTGTAGTCTTGAGGGCATCTGTGCATTATTGGCCCAGACCAGCTCTTAAAAGGGCTATGTAGGGCCTCTGGCTCAGCTGACGTTTATGGCCTAAAGGACATGCTGTGGTGTGTACACCTTGCTGGGACCTCCTGTCTCTCATTAGGGTGGCAAAGCTTTGGAGGGGTAAGAACTGTAACGGACTCGGGAGATGTCATCTGGTGGCTCCATGCAGTGAAAACAGATTGCCCAAAACTCATGCAGCAAAAAAACCCAAACCACAAGAGTTAATATTGCTATGGTCCTGAAAGTGTCAGCAACTTAGCTTCTTAGGAAAATAGGAAGGAGGGTATTTTAAGTCTATAAAGAGTCTGCAAGGAAGAACAAAATAAATAAATATGTTGTAAAATGAATTATTATTTCCTTGGAATCAGATATCTGAAAGTAACAGGTACAGAAGGCACGCAGTAGAAGTGAATCCTTTATCTATGTGCCAATTCTTGACAGTGCTATGTGTTTTAAACTACCCTGTTCTGCTCAGAATGGGAGGAAGAGCTCTCAGAGTCTCTGCTGTCTGTCACTGCAGGCTTTTTGTGCTATGTGCTCTGCAGAACTTGTACATAACCTGACTAAATAATCTGTGACAGGAAAGTACTTCTGACTCTGCCTGCGATTACTGTTTGAAATAATTAAGTTAGATTTTACAGTACTGGAAGCTGCCCAGGTCATTGAATGAGATGGGGGGTGGCATGGGGGTGCCTGGGGTGCAGTGCCCATCTCAGCTCTGTTCTAACAGCAGCTGAACCTGCTCCTGAGTCTCGCAGCTGCTGCAGCCTGCAAACCCAGCCCCTCCTCTGGATAGTCCTGCCTGAGGGATGTGCAGGCTTCTGTATGACATAGGAAATGATTCAACAGCCTTTCATTCGCTTTTGTAAAACTTTTTTTGTCATTCATCCATGCAGATACAATGGTAATGAATGGTGGTTCCTGGAAGATATCAATTTCGTATGTTCTTTCCCATTAAGTCTTTAAAGTCAGAAGACTTTAGAAATAAGAGACTATTCCAGTAGCCAAAGCTTTCTTCATGCCTATGCATAAGTCTGTAAAACCACCAATTAAAATAATTCATGCTGAAGTCATACTCAGCCCTCCTTTTTCAAAGAAACAAGAAATACCAGGCTTTCTGAAGGACTGGTTTCTATTTCTTAATCAACCCTGTCCTGTAAGTATGACCTTTTGTTGGTAACTTGCATTGGGCCAACCTGTTCTACGGACAAGCTGGGCAGGTGTGCAGACCAGCAGAACTTGAAGCATGGCATTTTGTTGTGTGGCTTCCAATCCATGATAGGATTAGTTGTGTGGAGCTGGGGAAGGGACTGCCTCTGTTTTACTGAGGGTGGCAACACAGCAATCCTCTGACTTGTGTTTTGTCAGCAGATTGGTTTCTACTTATTTCCTTGCCTTTGAGATGGAACTGTCACAGAGTCCTGGAATCACAATGCACTTGCCTTTTTGAAAGAGCACAGACAAAAGCAAAATCCAGGAAAGGGTTTTAGACTCTCCTCAGGCAGATGTCAGTGATACAAAAAGAGAAATGCAGACATTTACAGCTGGGCCATTGTCACATTAAATAACGCAATGGCATTGTTATAAAAATCAACTGTCTGATTATTGATGAAATAAGGTGATTATTAAAATCAGAGTTATTTCTCCTACAGCTCTCCTAAATATGGCAGGGGAATAATGTGGAAAGAGGCTCAGGTCAAAGCTTTGGAGCTGAGCAGCTCTGAGTTTTGAGGAAGCTGGCTTGCAGTTAGGTACAGCAAGTCAAGGTGATGTTAAGGAAAGGCTGGGATTTTAACGTGTAATTCACTAACATTAGTCCCTGATACAAAAGTGAAAGAGGCAGCAGGTTATTTAAAGATAATGGGAACACTCTGATACATATGGTAGATATGCAGGGTGTGCTGTCTGAGGCGTGCATGATCATGTGCAATGGAGACTTCCTTTGCTCCCAGATCCTGCTGCCCCCTCCTCTGCACACTAACAGAGAGGATGACCTTGTGGGAAACATATCCATGTTACACCAAATAAAGCCTTCATCTTAGGAGCCTCCTGTGGACATCACTGGTCTAAAGATGGACCTGGCCCCTTCCCGTGTATTAAGGCTGCTGCTGAAGTGGCACACGTGCTGCTTGTCCCTGATATTTGGGCCTGTTTCTTTGGTTGCTTCTTACAGTAGACCCGGTGCTCCATAGGAGTGGGGGCAGCAGAAGAGAGCCACACCGGGACTGCTGCCTTCCCACCGGCATGTGTAACCTCCCGGGCCCTACCTGATTGCTGCTCCCATGCTTTCTGCGTAACAGCACAGCAGCCAGAGCTGCACAGCGACCCCCTTTGACTAATTTCACGGCAAGGATTTCAAACCACGGGTCTGGTGCTAGAAAAGGAACATTTCAATGTACCTCAGCTTTGTACCACGTTGGGACCATCATGATTTACCTTTAGGTAGAAAACATTACTGGTTTCCTAAGAAGTTCTTTTCTTTCAGTTCAAAATACGTATTTGCATATCAACTGCAATCCTTGCAATATGCATCTATGAAAAGGAACTAGTTCCTCTGATGGCTGCTATGTAACATCTAAGGCACAATGTTTCTAGTTACCATTTAGGGAAATTAGCTCAATCATATCAAAGTATTAGGTGTCTTTTATGATTGGAACTTGTGTAGATTTTTCCCCTTCCATTTTATAATTATCTGATTACTTTTTTAAAAAACTTAACACATTATACAAAGCACACTGTGTCCTCATCAAGACTCAAGTCATTAAGAAATTGCTTCAGCTTGTATGGTTCACATACGATTTACTCAAAGCAAAGGCAAATTGTCAGAGAGGAAAACAAGACAAATTGGGGAAGATTTTAGTTAATGGTAAAAATATTGGGGGCTGGCCAAATTCTGCTTCCACCATATTGGTGTAATTTTAAGTTCGCTGAAGCCAACATGAATAAGGAAAAAATGTCAGTTATGTAAACAGGAAGAGAGGAGGGGAGAGGAGAGGAAAGGAGAGAAGAGGACTGGTCCTTATAAATTACCTCAGTCATACCCTGACTGGTGACTTTTTCTCTAGAACTTGTCCTCCCATAATATTTGCTTTATATCAGATTTCCCTCCCCGCCCCCCTCCCCCTACCCCCCGGCTTGATTTTCATTTGCTTCATGAGACAAAAGTTGGAGGAAAGCTGTTTCTAAATCATTGCCTGGTTTTCAGGGACAGACCAGAACTCTGCCCTAAACTTCCAAACTTCTGAAGTCCAAGGATTTAAAGGTCTAGGGCTGAAGGCTCAGGACCCAATCTGAGCTCTGAGCCTTCTTTAACAGGCAGGCCAAGACAATGGCTGTGCCACCTCAGGTGCCTTACCTGGTCTTGTAAGGACAAGGTGGAGAAGGCTGGGAC